AGGTCCCCAGACAGCAGGCACCTGAAGCCTGCCGGCCGTGCCCTTCCCCACCCAGAGTAAATGCCCCTCCACGGTCTGCCTCCGAGTGAGGCCAGGGGAACGGAGCCGGAGGACCGGTGGTGGCAGAGGGAGGGTTAACGGGGCGCCTTCCTGGGAGCCTCTGGATGCCAGGTTAGTTTCCCTCCCCTCCTCGCAGCAGTGGCTGCCTGCTTCCTGCCACGCATCCGTGGGAGGGGAGCCGGGCAGCAGGCACCTGAAGCCTGCCGGCCGTGCCCTTCCCCACCCAGAGTAAATGCCCCTCCACGGTCTGCCTCCGAGTGAGGCCAGGGGAACGGAGCCGGAGGACCGGTGGTGGCAGAGGGAGGGTTAACGGGGCGCCTTCCTGGGAGCCTCTGGATGCCAGGTTAGTTTCCCTCCCCTCCTCGCAGCAGTGGCTGCCTGCTTCCTGCCACGCATCCGTGGGAGGGGAGCCGGGCACCCCGAGGCCCCTCGTCACCAATTCTGGGGCTGCAGAGCCGAGAGTGACGACAGCCGTGAGTCGCCAGCCGACGGCAGTGGGGACCCTGGTGACGGCTGCTCTGTTGTTTTTTTCCTCTCTGGATGATGACTCAGTGCGTTGGGAGCAGGAAGATGGAGCGCTCAGCTGAATGGCCAGGACATTCTGTCAGCGTGGAAGCAGACGCAGCTTGTCGGGGCTGGGAGCGGACCCCACGGCGGCCACCAGGGTCGTTTTCAACACAGGCTGGGCAGCGAGAAGCCCACCGCTGGGTATCGGGGCCCGGGGGAGCCCCGGGGACTCACCAGGGTTCTGTGGGCCCTTGCTTCTTAGAATCGGGAAAGAACATGCAGCTGTTTGTATTTTTAGATGAACTTGACAAACAGGGTCGCTTCTTGAGCTCCTCTCATGAGTCCCAAATGGGAGACATCTTGCCAGGGCCCCTTGGGGATGCCTCTCTGTGGCTCGTTGCCTTGGACAGAAGGTGGGGGGTCTCTTCTTGGGGTGGGGGCCGGGGTAGCAGGAGCGCTCCGGGACCCCACGAACAAATGCCCATCGTGGGGATGTGGCATCTTAGGTTTTCTCAGCTGGCATCGTGTGAAGATGGTGGAGACGCATCCCTGGCCTTAAGCTGAAGCTCAGCTCTTGAGTAGCCTGCTTGGGCCTCCCCTTTCCTGCCTTCCCAAATCAAAGCTTATCTCCCCCCCACCCCCCACCCCTTCATCTGCCTCCCTCCCTTCTCAGGGAAAATTATAGACCTTGAGTTCCTGACCTGGGTGTGTGTGTGTGTCATGGCGGCTCAGGGCTCCAAAAAAGGAGGAAGAGAGAACACGGAGCTCCATTGCCGCTGAATGGTGGCCAAACCATTATCCCCAGCATCTGGCTTCGCTCGCTCTCCTCCCCCTTCCGTGTCGCAGGGCAGGGGAGCCGACAACCTGTGGGTGGGGACGGAGGGGTAGCCTGGCCCGGAGCTCCCGGCCTCCTGTCCCTGTGTCCCCTTGCTCAGCCTCACGCTTCCCCACAGGCGGTGTTGGCACCCCCTCCCTTCCCCAGAGACCTCGGCGGGACTCATGGGGGACCTCTGGAAGGAGTGGGTTGGGGGCCTTGGGAGGCTGAGGGAGCAGGGAGACCTGACCGAGGTCACAGCGGACAGTTGGTCAGAGCGATGGGTGAGCCGGCCGTCCCCACCCAGAGCTCACAGGCAGCACCAGCCCCTTTGCGTCATGTCTCTTTGAGCCTGAGTACAGAGCAACTTGACCTAAAAAAAAAATCATATATAGGTGGGTGTTGGCTGCTTTGAGTCTCCTGTTTCGTTGTCCAGAAGCTGTGTGTATGAAGAGAGCCCCAATGCTGCAGTTCCGAGAGCTCCGTCACCCCTCAGGTTTTGTTGTTGTTGTTTAATAATGTTATTGATTTCAGAGGGGAAGGGAGAGGGAGAGAAGGGTAGAAACATCAAAGATGAGAGAGAATCATTGATTCATTGATCAGCTGCCTCCTGCGCGCCCCCCACTGGGGATCGAACCCACAACCCGGGCATGTGAATCCAACCATGACCCCCCCTGGTTCACAGGTCGACGCTCAACCACTGAGCCACACCAGCCTCAGGTTTGTCTTTGAAAGAGCTGGTGGACAGGCCCTCTGTGACAAGACGCCGTGCCCAGTGGCACTGGTCTTTCCCCAGGACGATGGGCCCAGCAAAGTGTCGCTTCTGTCGTTGGATGCTGAGCCGCAGCGGAGGGCCACGGTCCCAGGGCCACATCGTCACCCTAACGGGACCTGGCTGGAGCCTGCACAACGAATTGCTTGCGGTTGGCCCGTAGCTGAGCCCACCTGTCTTCCTTTTGCTTCTTCCCCACAGAGAACTCAAGAGGCGTTGAGCTCCGTGAGTGACAACTTTGTGGAGACACGGCCCAGCTGAGGAGGGTGCTGGTTGCAGAAGACAGCGGCCATCCTGTGGGGTCCTGGGCGCCCGTTTGCATTTATTTGTAACCCCCCAAAAAGAGACAGATGCGTGGCAGCCTGGCTCCGTGCAGTAAGTATTTGTCTGCATTCTTTTATTCCTTCAGACATCGGGCGCGGATAGATGTGTTTTGACCCCAGCCAGCTGCTGTGGCGTCTCCATTCTGTTCTGGCACGCCCTGCCCTTGGTGCTCCGGAAGAGAGGACTGGATTGCTTTTCTCCTGCTGTGCCGAGAGCTGTAGAGAGGCTAGAACTCAGGGTTCAGCCCCCCCCACACACACACACCCCTCTCATTTCGGAGACGTCGGTTTTCCCTAAAATGGAGCCAAAGCCCGTGTCCCTCAGTGCAGAGTGTTAATGGGCCGAATGGAAGGACCCTGTTTGCCCTCCCTGCCCCCGGCAGGGAGGTGAGGCTCTCAGCTGGCTGGCTGAGGGAGGCTGGTCCTTGCCAGCATCTAGCATGGTTCTCTGCCAAGTTCTAGCTCCAAATCTCTGGGCCGGTTGGAACCTAGACTATATATAGCCTTCGCTAAGCAATTCTTATCGGACGTGTCTGCCCTCCCCTGTGGGAGAGGAGTAGTTCTACCAGAGGATCAGAACCTAGAGAGTGGGGCATCTCTCAGGGGCCTTTCGTTCTGGGAGGGGCGTGTGTGTGTGTGTGTGTGTGTTCGCCCGATTCAGGGCTGCCAAGCTCTCTCCCCTCATTCAGATGCGGATGGATACAAAGGTCACATGGATGAGGGTACTGATGTAGGAGGGGCTGACAGCCTCGATGGATTTGGACTTTGGACGAGGAGAGACCAGGCCCTGGATGTGGCCCTGGATGTGGCTGAAGGCACAGCGTGACCCGTGGCGAAGACCAGCCTCTGGTATGTCTTCTGGGTTTCCTGTTTGCCTTGCCTTGACCTCCCCCTTCCTTCTGTTGGACCTCTTGTCTTCCCTGCCTTTCCCCACCCCTTCCTCCTCCTTCCTTTGATTTTCTTTAGGATACATGAGGGCAAGCTCAGCTCCGGCATCCGGGAACTGCACCTGCTCCCTGCCCTCAGCC